ACAGATAATGATTTTCATAATCGAATTCATAACATAAACAAGTTTCCATAACTTTCAACAAGACTTTTTCTTGAAAAAAAGAAAAAAATCACTGCTCCTGATAAAAAAAGAGCCCGCGTTTCGACTGAGCCAGTTTGGGAAAACCAGTAACCTGATTTATTACGATTCTGTAACTCGTTTCAACAGCAAATTCGTATGAATTATGTAAAGAAGTGCTGCGACAAGTCTGCTTTCAAGAAACTATCGGAAATCCAAACCATTGGCAGCGCTGTCAGCGGATGGCGGGTGCCCGCTGGCACCAACCAATTGAGCTACTTCCAGGGAGACCCTGGCTTCTAACAACTCGTGAATTTCACAAAGTCCATACGAAAGTGATTAGGGCCAAGAGTGCGGAAAAATTTGAAATCTAATCAACTTCGAAAACATCCACAAAACAAAAATTTCGTCACTCGATACAAAGAAAAAAACAAATGCTACAACACATGGAACAAGGAATTATGCGAGCATACCAGCACTGTAGAGCATCCTTGGAATTCCGAACAGAAGGCTGTCAAGTTTTGGGCTACTTTCCATCGTTTTTTCAGCCATCGAGCGACCTAAAAATTAAAAAAATTCTTGCACATCCAGATTTATCTATGCACTATTAAGGAAAGCAAATTCGCTTCTTGCTGAAACTGCAGTTTCGTTTCATTTCTCTTTTCACTCTCTCTTTTGTCTTGACTTTGAATTTTCTTAAATACATTTCATTCTTACTCATTATTCTCTATATATACAAAAATAATGATAGAAAAGAACGCGAAAAAAGAATAAAAAACGATGCCTTCCTATTCGCAAACATATGAGATGTCAGTTGAAGTATTGTGAGAGTTCAAAATATCACTGCGACCACATGAAAAAGTAAAATCTACTGGGCAGGGCATATTACCCATCCGCCTTGCTAACAACCGATTAAAGTAGCGCATCAGTGAGCGGTACCCGCAAAAGGTAGGTAGTCACCCAGAC